TTTTTTTTTTTTTATATATACCATCAGTTGGAAAATAATTGTTTAAGACACGAATTATATATTCTTGTTTAAAATTGAAGTATTAAAAAAAAAAAAGGGGGACTGGAATAATTTGAGCAAAATTATTCACGAACTTTACGAATGTTTTATGACAATTGTTTTTGTTTAATGAATTTAATTCGATGATAAGAATAATTTGATTGTTTTAATAAACGATTCAAGATTGTATTCGTTCATTGTTGTTTTAAAAACAAATTTATATAACAATAATATGTAATATAAAAAAAGAAATTGTATGTGTGTGTAACTTTGTAAATTGGATAAATGATACTTATATTTTCTCTGGTTCCAGTATTCCTCCTAATGCTAGAATTTCTATAAAAATTCGAACGTCTTCCTGTATTCCTATTATTGTTCCCATCATTTTCGTATTCAATCACAAACGTTGATTTATTTTTAACGTTAGATCGCATACTATATTACGCGACGTGAATTATTATCTAAACGCACGATTATTAATACGATTTTCAATATTATATTTTCCATTTAATTATATTTCCTTATTTTTCGGAAAAAAAAAAAAACAAAAAAAAACAAAACTTCACTTATCTACAAATTAAATTCCACATTTTTAATAATTTTCTTTTTACTCGAGTAAAAAGAAAAAACAAAACAAAACCAATAAAATATTTCGTAAAGTACAAAAATTAAAAGAAAAAAAGGTTTGACAGGATAGAAAAAAAAAAAAAAAAAAAAAAAAAAGAACAAAACAAATTGATAAATAATAAGTCAAATAAATAAATGATGAGTAATAATAAATAAATAAAAAGGTCTCTCTGTTTTAATTTCTTTTCTTTTCTAAATTTGTCACACACGGATGTAATGATAAATTAAAAAAAAAGAATAGAAGAGGAAAAGAAGAAAAAAAAAAAAAAAAGACACATTATTAAAACGACGAAGAAGAAGAAGAAAAAAAATGATAATAATATAATATCACGGGAAAACAAGTTTGAGGAACGATTGACAACTGAATCAACAATAATACAAGCTGGTGGACATCAGACAACGATAGGAAATCCAATTATCGATAAGTTAGTATTGGTTGACCGTGCACTGGCTTACTTTCCAACTCGTGAAAATAATCTTTCTATTACGTAATTACCTCCCCCTCCCACCTCTCACCCCCAAACAACCAAACAGACGTCGTATTTATTTACGTCGATGACGATGATGATGATGATGGTAATAATAAAAACAATAATATATAGAAAGAAAACAATAATAATAATAATAATAATAATATAATTCTTTATGATCGATGATTATGAAAATGATTGACCGATTATATTGTATTACGTAATCATTTTAATATAATTAATTAATTGTATCGTTAAAATATATTCGTGCGTTTGATATTTGCAAATGTTTTTTCTTTTTTGTTTTGTTTTTTTTTTAATAACAATCGTACAGAAATAACATTTTGTATCTTTACAAAATAAATGTATAATATAATATCAAAAAATATGATATATATATATCCAATAATCGTTAACAATAAGGTAACCTCCTCAGGTAAAGTATTATTATCATCGATAATAATATCGTAGTTACTTGAATATTTATAAATGACATACTAGTTGAAATAGTATTGCGAAGAAAAGTAATCGAAAACCTTTTCCTAGAGTTGTAGTTCGATTGATTCGAATTAGATCGAAATTAAAGAAGTATAACGTAGACGACGACAATAATAATAGGAATAAAAGAAAAAAAAAAACAGAAGATAAAGAAAAGGAAAAATGAAAGAACAAATAATACGATTGAATTTTTATATCGAACATAATTCAAAATAAATAGAATATTATATATATGATACATAAAAATTAGTGACACATTTTCTGATGAACAATATATATTCGAAAAATAATTATTTAATTGTTAAATTAATTTATAATCTAATTGAATGTATGTTCAACATTTTTTTTTTTTCAATTATTTTAAACAATTTGATAAAAAAAATGAATATTCGAATGTTGTGTGTTAATTTGATTTAGGAAATGATAATAACGTGTTCACGTTGATTGTATTAGTTAAAAAAAAAAATGATATAAGATTAGATAAGAACAAATTAGGGGTTGAAATGTTTACCTCCAGTAAAGGTGTCATTGTTGTCAGACTGTAAGGTGGCACTGGTATCGGAAAGGGGTGATGGTGCAGGCCTTAAATCCGATGGTGGTTCCAATCTCAATAAATCACTTCCGGTATCTCCAGCACCCCCTCCATTCCCCCTTCCCACCTGTACAATCGTTGCATTAACAGGTCCCCGGTTACCTGTCATAAAATATAACAAAATCTGATTATTTCATGAATTTGTTTATCCTACAAAAATATTAATCTCATAACTAAATTAAAAAAAAATATATATATATATGTGAATAAAATTATTTGATGGATTTCAAAAAGTATTGGGTTATCTAAAAACAAATTTTATTTATTGTTTAATTCAAATTAAGTAAACAAATGTAATTTTGTGACAAATTGTTTGATAATAAAAAAAAATCGTAAATAAATATACAGGTGTACCCCTCGTTTAAATGTTACACCTTACAAAAAATACAACTAAAGATAAAACTTTATTCTTTTTTATATTTTATTTTTCTCAATTATAATTGGAAATATTTTATTTCCAAAATTCTCTTCTTCTTTTTCTTTCTTTTTTTTAATAAATAAAATTGAATATATTTAAAAAGAAATAATATAAAATATAAAATAATAATATAATAATAATAATATAAAAAATTGTATAAATATTTTCTATTAATATTTAATCGATGGGGATATGATGGGGCTTTGATTGAAAAATGAAATACAAAATAAACGCGGGGCACAAAAAAAAAAAATTGTAAATTATTTCTAAAAGGGTGTGTTGTCGGTGTTTCGTCTAAATAAGGGCAGGATCATCGGCACTTCTCGACGATATTACTAAGTGGTAATTAACCTCGGTGTCATTTTCTCAAGGCACCTTCCTCTCCCATATTCAGCCCCTTTTCCACCCTTCCCTTATTTTCAAGCCTTCACTTTTCTCGAGGGTAAACCGAGCTCAAATTGAATCCGTTTAAATCGTACTACGGTTGGATCAAAAGGACAGGAGTTGAAGGGATCATTTTGTATTCGTCGTTCATCGACAAAGAAAGAAAAAAAGACAGAAAAAAAAAGAGAGTAATTTAGAAGAAGATAATTCGATGCAAAAATGCAAAAACCGAATCGATTTTCGAGAAAGAAAAGGAACGAGAACAAAAATAAGAGACCCCCTTTTTAAACAAAAATTATTCATGATCTTGCAATCTGTGACAAACGAGTATTGCAAATGTAATGTTTTATGTATAATAGTAAGGGTTGATAAGGCTGAAGAACAATTATATTAAAGCATTTATTTTTGAAAAAGATTTTTTTTCTTTTTGTAATATTTAAAAAAATCAAACTTTATTCGGAAAAAATTTATTCGTAATTGTTTGATTGTACTATTATTATAAACACTTGTAAAACTTTTCTGAAGTATAACTTCAAAAAAAACAAAAAGACAAAAAAAAAAATAAAAAAAAAAAAAGGGCAAAAATATATTAATGAATAATTGGCCAATTTTTTTTTTTAAATATAATATAATACAATATTAATCTATAATTTATTTATTTATTTATTTATTTATTTGATAAATAATCTTTTATAGGAATAAGTAAAAATAGTAGAGCTTGATATAAAAATTCATAATGATTCACGTTTGAGTCATCGTCAATCGTTAAACAAAACTACCGATGACGCACGAAAAAAGTTTTCATTTCGCGTGTAAAGTCACGAACCCGAATCCGAACTTATAATATATGAAAATTACTATAAAGTATAATAATAATTTAACGATTAATAATAATAATAGCACACACGATCATATTTGATAAAGCGGACCTGAAATTTGGATATCCTAAAAATATACATTTCAAAGTTACGGGGTAGAGGGAGGGGGAGGGTTTTGGAAAAAATTTAATTTACAATATCGTTGAATAAGAAACGAAATGTTTTTTTCATAGTTACGAATATTAAAACAATGGTTTCGATAACGTATATTAAATATTTCATTTCATAGGTAAAAGTAAAGAAAATAAATTGAACATTTATGTGCAACAGATTGTGTTCGAGGGGAATAAATGAATAATCCTAATTCCATGGTAGAAAAGTGAAGGATTATCTTGACCTAGATTTGATTCAGTGGACAGTGATGGTATTAAATAAACTATTCATTGTTTCCGCTAGGGATTTTCTAGAAAATGTCAACGTGGGTTGGTCATTCTAAAGTATAATACTATACACGTAAGTAACCAACCCTATGTCAGGTGTAGCTTTAAAAAGAACAAAAATAAATAATAAAATGGCAACACGACAAAGTTTGTTCACTCAAAAATGAAAAAGAAGTTGAATAATCCTCGAGAAAAGGACGTTGGTTGTTTGGTTGGTTGATTGTTTCATTTGTAATTGTTCAATGTAAAAAGTAGCAACATGGAAACGTATAAAAATCGTCAACAACAAATAGTGTACAAAATTTTTCATTGAAGATACAACTTTTTGAATGACCCAGTTCTTCGAGAGAGACCCTTTTCCCCCTCCCCCTTCATCACTCATCACCCCACCACAACCACCACAAGCAACATCTTGTTATTAATGTTTACCTATTCGACATTTGTAGTATGCTTATACAACATTCAAGTAGACCATGTAACACTGTAATGAGGTACACGTGCATTTACGTGGAGAATTAATTAAACCCATACTTCCTGGCAATCACGACAATATAATAACAATGAAAGTACTTACGATATATAAGAAGGTATATACACTAGATTTCTATTAAATAATTAATTACCATCAAAATTAATCTGAAGATGTAATAAAATTGTGTGCATTGGTTTAACAAAAAAATAGGACAGAATGTAAGTTTTATATTTTAATATTTGAAACAATTTATATTTAAAATTGATTTTCTTTTGGGGAGGGGGGATATTTTTATTTCGTTATAATAATCATTTGAAAATGATCATTATTCTATTTTTTGTATTTATTAATATTGTTAATGTGTAGTTTATAATAGAATGATGTTGGGTTTACTTTTGTAGTGTGTTAGACGTTATGTCGAGTATTTGTACACGAGTATTAAGTTATCTACTTGTCAAAACTGTAGGGATTTGAAATAGACAAGAGTTACGAACGGTTATAGGTTTCTTGTTGTCTGAATTATATTACAATAGAACGATATTGGATGTAAAGGTAAAGCTGAACGTTTAGTATTAATAATACCTTATCCAAAATTTAACGAATCTAAAATGTTCAAATTTGTTCATTAGTATTAAACCAATACATCTATAATAATAAATAAAAGTAATCCACAAATAAAAAACAAAAATACTATTAAATAACATGTAACGATTAACATAGAATTTGGTAGAAATGAAAATCAAAAACAAATCTAGGATATTATTTAAATTTAATATACCAATAAAGTCTAACTAAGAATAAAAACGAAATAATAATTAATCAACAGTTTATTTTCCAACAAATTATTTTTTCCAATTGTCCAATCTTTGAATTAAGCAAGAAAATAAATAAATAAAACCTAAAAGAAATTAAACGAAATAATAATTAATCAACAGTTTATTATCCATCAAATCATTTTTTCCAATTGTCTAATCTTTGAATGAAACAAAAAAAT